CCAGGAAGAGCTCAATGATGGTGCCAACTTGGGCCAGTGAAGCAACGTCCTCCACAACTAGACTGAAGAACAAAACGGCAGCAACTTATCTGTTCCCCTTCCCCCAATTCCCCAATAAAAAATCTTTAAAAAAAAAAAAAAGAAAGAAATTAAGGTTGGGAGGGTGAGCAAAAGAGTGGAAAGGGGTCAAAAGGTACAAACTTCCAATTATAAAATAAATAAGTCCTGGGGATGCAAAGTACAACACGATGACTAGAGTTAATAATATTATGCTGTATATTTAAAAATTATTAAGCAAGTAGATCTTAAACGTTCTCATCTCAAAAAAAATGTTTTATCACTATGTTGGGATGGATGTTAACTAGACTTATTGTGGTAATCATTTCACAGTACACATATATCAAATCATTATGTTGTACACCTGAAACTAATATAATGTTATATATCATTTATGTCTCAATAAAACACAGGAATGTTTAAAATAAAAGAAATTAAGGCTAGAGGATTAAAAGAATGGGGAATGGGTTTAATTTAAATTGACTGCTTAGGGAAGGTCCCTATCAGGTAGTGACATTTGAGCCAAGATAAAAAGACATCCAAGCAAAGATCTGGCAAAAATTGTTCCAGGAAGAGATAACAAGTCCTCTTGTAAGAAAACATCCTTGCCATTCGTTCTGTAACACCCTTCCTTTCTCTCTTCGCCACCCATTTTGCATCCTTAGAGGTTATACAAAATCAGTCAATGTCTTTTCCATAAAAATGGGGTCAAATTATTTATTTTCTTATGTAAGAACTTGTGTAGGTCATGCCAACAGGGTTTTACACACACACACACACACACACACACACACACACACACACACACTCACGAGACACTCCTTGACGTGCCTTTGTATTTGTATGTGATGACACCACGTGACTTGGACATGTGTCTCCTTTCCTCATTTGTATAACATCCAGAACATTACTGGGCATGTCCTCGTGCTTATTCAATACACCGATGACTGATTGTGCCTGTGAAGGAACATTCCCACTCTCCAGGGCCTATTTATAAAATCCTCTCATTATCAAATGAAGCTTCAGTTTTAAAATTTTGCATTGCTCATGTACTTTGAGTGTCATTTTTACTTAGGAGACTAATAAAAATAATAGCAAACATTAATTGGGGGCTTGTGTGTGGCTCCCTGTGCTAAGGGCTTCAGAATGATTATTATCCTCATAACCCTACAGGGTAAATTCTCTGGCTATAATCTCCATTTCACAGATGGGAAAACTGGGGCTCAAAAGAGGGTAAGTAATATGCCCACAGTTGAAACCACAATTCAATGACAGGATTATGCCATAAGCCAGTCTCTTTGAGTGCAAGGTTTGTGTCAGAATGGGAGAACAGAAAGCAAAAAGCATTTGTCTATTCCTTTGCATCTGTCTTTGAAATTTTCAAAGCACTGTTTTCTAACATTTTTTTATTTACTCCAGCCCTCTAGCTTTCAAGTTCACTTTTCTACCCAGATATGTGCTTTGCTTTCCTTTGCTTCAAACT